CAGAACCGGGGATTGAACTCAGGCCCTTGTGCTTGCCAGGCAAGCACTTATTCTACTGAGCTATCCCCCTGGCCCCTAGGAATAAATTATTTGCTTTCCTAAAAATTGCTTTAGATTTTGAGCAGTTCTCTCTACAGAACCCAGGATTGCAGGGTACCCACCATTCTAACATATGGTACTCTGGGCGTGGTGGCGAGTACCTGTAATGCCAGCACTTGGAAGGCTGAGGCAGGAGGATCACTGCAAGTTTGAGGCCAGCGTGGGCTGCAAAGGCCAGCCTAGCCTACGTAGGGAAACCCTGTCTCAAAAAGAGAAAAAAGCAAACCAAACGAAGAACATAGGGTGCTTAACACTCTGTATTAGATTATAAGAAACGTTAGTCCTGTTTCTTATACTTCTCAGATGCCAGTCTTCTTGGTGTTGCAAAATTAATACAGCTCCAATGCAAATAAATACCTTATTATCCTAGGACCTTTTAGGGGGACAGAGCGGCAAGTGCTTTCTGCTTTTGTAAGACTTGCAAGCAGAAGTGGCTCGTGTTTTGGGGCTCAACTCGTTGGAGGAGCTGTTCAGCTTGCCACAGGAAGTGTATCTTGACACTCTGGGGTCAATGGTGTCTGCACATGAGGCACTGTCCTGTGTCCCGGTGAGGCAGGCTCTGGTCGCTGCCTGGGTGTCCTGCCCAGTGGCTATGGGCAGACAGGCCCTGGGGGGCCCTGGGCCGCTTGTGCTGGCCTCTGCAGTGCTGGACTGTGTGCTTCCAGGTGACCCACAACCAGGAGAACGTGTTCGACCTGCAGTGGCTGGAGCTGCCAGATGTGGCCCCGGAGGAGCTGGAGGCCCTGTCCAGGAGCATGGTGTTCCACCTCCGAAGGCTCATCGATGAGCGGGATGAGTGCACCGAGGTGTGCTGCGGCAGGGGTGTGTGTGTGTGAGAGAGAGAGTGACAGACAGACAGAGAGCAAGAGAGAGAGTGGGCGAGAGGCCGGGGGAGAGAGAGAGAGGGAGGCACGGGGGGCAGGGGGACGCTTGCCCTGTCTCCTTTTCTTCTCTTCCCAGGCCCCAGCTCCTTCCCATTCTGCAGTTCAGGGTCTGGTGGGGTAGAAAATGGGTGTTCTCTTTGGCTATGGCCTCTGGGGTGAGTGGTCACTGCAGAGACATCCACAGGAAGAAAATATCAGGATGCTGTTTGGGGTCCCTCTTCTACTCAGTCTCTTCTTTTTATTCCACTGAATATTTCACATCTTTTTGAAAACCTGCTCCTGCCCTTTAGTGTCTTGCTCCTGGTTTGTGAGTCTCAGCAGAAATGTCTCCTTTTTGGGTGGGTTTTTACCCACTTTGAACTTGTCTTCCTCCTCTGCCCTACGTCTGCCTCCCAGCTGATCGTGGACCTGACACAGGAGCGGGACTACCTGCAGGCGCAGCATGCGCCCAGCCCTGTCAAGTCAGCCAGCACCAGTTCCACGCCCAGCCCCACCAGCAGCCTCTCAGGCGAGGACAAGCAGCACCTAGCGGTGGAGCTGGCCGACACCAAGGCCAGGCTGCGGCGTGTCAGGCAGGACCTGTGAGTGGTCCAGCTGCTTTCCCTGTTCCTATGTGAGGCTGCAGACCCGTGTGTAGTGTGCAGTGAGCTTGGATGGGCAGTGCCACAAACAGGAGGGTCCTGGTGGGACTATCGTCCCAGCTTGCTGGGTAACCGAAGACCGGTCACCACTCCTCCATGTGGTAGAGGGACTTGTCCCCATTTTCTGGCTCTCAAACACTATAGATTGCCTATGACCCTATACTGCTGTCCCACATGGGTCCAGGTTGGGGCTGGGGTGGCTGTGTGTGGTGAGTACTTGCATGGAGGGGAAGGCACCTTGCCTCACCTGGGGAGCCGGCTCTCTAGCTGGTGAATGTCATTCAGCCATCCAAGGGGCAGCTCCCTGTCTTCACCGCCCCACCCTTGGCCCTTGCAGGCCCAGCTGAGGAGGACTAGAGCTGCAGCTGGGTTCTCCTTACCTGGTCTGCACACTCACAGGGAAAGCTGGCTGGTGGTTTGAGGACAACTGTTAGAAAACTTGAGAAAAGAATTTGGTGTTGAGAACATTTGTGCAGGCCCCGTAGGCATATCCGCTCCCAGGGCCCCGAAGCTTGGGTCTCCTGCTTTCCCCGGAAATGGTGGCCTGTTTCCAGGGCCTGCAAGGAAGCCCCACCTCACACACGCTCTTCCTCCTCATCACCCGCAGTGAGGAGAAGACAGAACAGCTCGTGGACACCAGGCATGAGGTGGACCAGCTGGTGCTGGAGCTGCAGAAGGTCAAGCAGGAGGTGAGCAGGAGCCCATGTAGGCTGGGGTGCCCCAGTGATGGGCCCGGAGGGTCAGGCATGTCCCACAGAGCTGCCCAAGAATGAGGGGTCCTATGAACTTCCTTGGGATGACCCTGTTTCTTAGTGACAGGCTCTGGAGACCCCACGGGGTAGCGGACACTCAGATCCCCTTGGCCACAGGAGCTGGCTTGTCCTGGGATGTCCCCTCCCCGAGAATGTGCTAAGCTGTCTTCACTGCTGTTGCCTGCCCTGTAGAACATCCAGCTGGCGGCTGACGCCCGGTCCGCCCGTGCTTACCGGGACGAGCTGGACTCCCTACGGGAGAAGGCAAACCGTGTGGAGAGGCTGGAGATGGAGCTGGTTCGCTGCAAGGAGAAGCTGCATGATGTGGACTTCTACAAGGCCCGCATGGAGGTAGGCGCCTGGGCTGGGCTTCTAGATGCAGGCTGTCCTTGGAGGATGAGAAGGAAGCAAAAGCCTGTCACCGTGGTCGCCCTCCCTGCCCCACAGCCCGTCGGGACCCCTGCAGGCCTCTCTCTTGGTCCTTTCTATCTCGAAGTGTCAGTGGGTGAAGGAAGGAATGTAGCTGGTTGGTGAAAGACAGTGAATCCTTTTAGGGCTTGCTCTTCTACTTCACAGAAGTGGAATGAAAGACAGGGAAGGTCTTCTATGTGTAGATTTATTTAAAGGCTTCTTGTGATTTCTGGGCTAATTTGCTAGGACTCAGTTTCCTGATATGTGAAATAGGAATGCTGATACTTGCCACAGTTTTAAAGATGAAAGGATGAAATTGTTGGGCAGTAAGTGCTGTAGAGACAGGCTACATAGTACCCCCTCACCCAGTGGAAGCTCCGCCAAGAGCTTTTATTTTGTTATTCCTATAGTTTTTGAGCCAGGTCTTACTGTGCTGCCCAGGCTGGTGTTGAACTCCTGGGCTTGAGGGGTTCTCCTGCCTCAGCCTCCCACATGCTGGTTCTGCAGGTGCTTGCCACTCTCCCTGGCTGAAGGCAGGTGAACGAGTTGGGGTTAAACTGAGACCTAGACCCAAGAGAGATCCTTGATGCTTGGACCACTCGTCCCAGTGACCTTGTGTCAGCTGTGGCTTCTGGGACTCAGGGTTTGGAGATTGGGTCCCTGTTGCTCATGCCAGAGTTCTGGAAGTGGTGCTGGTCCTGTGTGAACTCGATTCCACCCAGAAGGGAACCAGGAGCTGGGGGGTGGGTGGGCACCAGCTCCTGCCGAGGAGACTTGTTTGATGTAGGGAGCAATCCTGTCCAGCCGGGTGGTCTCTGAGGCAGCTGATCAGGCCAGGGAGCAGAATGAGGGCATCGTGTCTCCCCTGCTGTGGGACTCCTGTGGGTGCTGGCAGGCTGGGGAGATGGCGCCCCCAAGTCCCACTGGAATGGGCTCCCAGAGTAGCAGCCAAGTGCGCATTGGCCTCAGCATCTTAGTAGAGTAACACATTTCCACCGCAAGACAATTTAATAATTTCTAAGCACTGAGCATACTGACATATACCTATAGCCCCAGCTGTTGGGGTGGCTGAGGCAGGAGGATTACAAGTTGGAAGTTAGCATGGGTTCCTTAGTGAGACCTTGTTGCAAAATGCAATTTTCTGCAAAGGGGCTATGAATGCACCTCAATTGGTAGAGCACTTGACTTAGTGTATGTGAAGCCGTGAGTCCAACCCGCACGGAAGGGTTGGACAAAGGATTAAGTGAATTCTCTCCCGCAGTTCACTTTGGGCAACACTGAATCTGCTTACTTGGGTGTGTCCGACTTCTCGGACACTTGAGGCCAACTTGAGGAGCACAGGCCTGCCCTGGCCAGCCGCCGACGTGAGCACTGACTCAGGCGTGTGTTGGAGTTAACTTGGGATGTAGCTCAGAGGCCTCGAGATGTGCTTCTATGCCATGAAGCCAGGTGTGGTCTGGGTCCTCAGGGAATCGAGGGGGCCTTGTCCAACTGTATCAGTAGCCTGGGCCCAGTGTCTGGTGTCTAGTGGGGGCCAGCACTACCTTCATGCACAAGTGACTTTGATGGGTCCATGTTTATGTTCGATTGAGTGTATCCAGCTTAATAGGAGAATCCAGATTCTTTGTTTTTGTGGTACGGGGGTTGAACTCAGGACCTTGTGCATGCCAGGCAGGTGCTTATGCCACTGAGCTATATCCCCACAGATTCTTTCTTAGTAGAGTAACACATTTCCACCGCGAGACAATTTAATAATTTCTAAGCACTGAGCATACTGACATATACCTATAGCCCCAGCTGTTGGGGTGGCTGAGGCAGGAGGATTACAAGTTGGAAGTTAGCATGGGTTCCTTAGTGAGACCTTGTTGCAAAATGCAATTTTCTGCAAAGGGGCTATGAATGCACCTCAATTGGTAGAGCACTTGACTTAGTGTATGTGAAGCCGTGGGTTCAGTCGCTGGTACTGAGGGGGCAAAGAAGAAATTTAGCACACAGTAGCATGCTGAAATGTGTCTGAGTTGGGGTTGAGTTGCCGATGTGCAGACCTTAGAGAAGAACCAAGAACAAGGGTGCGCATCTAGAAGATGAAAATAAAATGGGTAGAGGGTGGCCCGGTGGATGGGTACGTGCCAGAGTGATACGGTGAACTTCCGATGGCAGGCTCTTCAGGGGCACGTGTGTAGATAGCTGTGTGGGACGCAGTTGTTCCAACTGTGGCATGTGATCCTCAGTGATGGAGGGGTTGACCCAAGGGAAAGGGTGACAGGGACATGAACTCATACCTGGGTTCACAGGGCCACACCTGGTTGGCTACCTCAGTTTAATTGTGAATGTTAAAAGTGTTACTAAGTTTAAAGCTGTGAAACACCTCTCTGCTCTCTGAAGTTTTAGCCCTGTATTGTTCAAGTTGTGGTCCAAGTCAACTGAAAGCATCTTTTAAAAATGTACATTTCTATCCTGGGGGAAAAAATACATAAACAAAAATATACATTTCTGGCCCCCCTGGGCCCTAGGGAGCAGGCTTTGGAAATCTGCCTTATGTAGATTCTCCCCCAGTGACCTTGATTTCTCCCAGGCTGGGACAGGGTTCTTCTGAAGGTCTGTGCTTGGGGTTTCCCCCTGCCATGGGTGGGGCCAGCGGGACATCTGTGAGTTGGGTGTGACTCTCCATGGGACCAGTGTGTAGGTGCTGAGCCCTTCCTGAGGGTGGAGACCCCATCTTCCCTCACTGTAAACATGAGCCCGCCACAGCCACAGGGACTGCCGCACCAGTAAGAGGTGACCCGGTGTCCTGTAATAGTTCTGCAGTCTGGGGAGAAGGCCTCAGAGAGTGAGGGTTTGTTTCCTCCAGAGAGAAGCTGGTGGTGTTGAAGGAAGACACGCTATGCAGAAGAGCAGGACTGGGAGCTGCCCTGGGAAACACCCAGCGCAGACGCTGGAGGGCGAGTGCAGTGGCGCTTCGTGGGAGGGGATAATAAAGGGCCCAGTCAGGGTGAGGGCGAGGTTAATTTTGGGTAGAAAAACATGGAGTACAAATTTGTGTGGTTTTTTTTTAACTTTTGGCAGCATTTTGGTATCTCCTGGTTCAGTTTACATAAGAATGGAAAAGACACAAATAGGAGCAGCGTAGGTGTCCTGCGTGGGTGGAGGGTGGGGGGAGGAAATGTGAGGTGGGTCCCCGCTGCCCTGGACTTCCCTTTGCAAACAGCAGCAGAGCTCAGGGCAGAGGGTCAGGCAGGGGGCTGGCGGTGGAGGCATTGCTTGGAAGCGTCTCTTTCCTGTGTTTTTGACTGGCTGAAAATTTCCACGAGGCCAAAGGCAGATGCACCAATGCTGTGTGCCTCTGAGGCAGGGATGATCTCTGGATGGACAGCTTTCTAGGCAGTGCTGGATTCAAAGTAAGCAACCAAAAAATGCCAAGGCCCATCCATAGCAGTCCTGGCGATGACTCCAACTTGCCGGTGGTGGGTGTGTATGTTCCATCTGTGGAAGGAAGTGGCATGCTCTGGGCATCCCAAGACCCCATGCCCTGGCCTCCTGGGCCCAGGAGCTGTGTGAGGAGT